TGGGAACATGAAAGTTAATGAGACATGAGACATCAAGATGTAATAAGACATAAATCAAAAGAAGAAAAAAAAAGAAAATGTGAACTATCTCATTGAAAAAAACAGCTGACCTGGAAAACTGATACAAAAGAGGTGATTCAAGAATTACTGGACTATTTGAAAGCCATGATTAAAAAAAAAAAAAGAGCCTAGACCTCATCTTTCAAGAAATTATCAAGGAAAACTTCCCTGGTGTTCTAGAAGCAAAGGGTAAAATAGAAATGGAAAGAATCCACCAATCACCTCCTAAAAAGATCTCAAAATGAAAACTCCCAGCAATATCATAGGCAAATCCCAGAACTCTCAGGTCAAGGAGAAAATACTACAAGCAGCCAGAAAGAAATAATTCAAATATTATAGAGACACAGTCAGGGTTACACAGGATTTAGCAACTTCTACATTAAAGGACTGGAGGGCTTGGCATATGGTATTTTCCAATTAAACACCAAATTGAAAATCCTGAAAATCAAAGGAGAGATGAATAAAATTGAAAGTAAGAAAACCATTGAACTAATAAATAAAACCAAGAGCTGTTTTTATGAAAAAAATCAATAAAACAGATAAACCACTGGTTAATCTGATTTTTTTTTTTAAAGAAAGAAAACCAAATCACCAACATCAAAAATGAAAAGGATGAATTCACCACCAATGAAGAAGAAACTAAACCAATTATTAGGAGCTATGTTGCCCTATTATATGCCAATAAATTTGACAACCTAAGTGAAATGGATGAATATTTATAAAAATATAAATTGCTCAGATTAACAGAAAAGGAAATAGAGTACTTAAAGAACCCTATCTTAGACAAAGAAATTGTACAAGCCCATCAATGAATTCCCTGAGAAAAAATCCCCAGGGCCAGATGGATTCACAGGTGAATTCTACCAAACATTTAAAGAACACAATTAATTCCAATACCATGTAAACTATTTAGAAAGATAGACAAAGAAGGAGTCCTACCAAATTCCTTTTATGAAACAAATATGGTGCTAATACCTAAACCAGGAAAAGCCAAAACAGAGAAAGGAAATTATAGATCAGCTTCCCTAATGAAAGTGATTTTTTTTTTTTAGGTAATTGGGGTTAAGTGACTTGCCCAGGGTCACACAGCTAGTAATTATCAAGTGTTTGGTCAGAGACGGGATTTGAATTCAGGTCCTCCTGACTTCAGGGCCGGTGCTCTATCCACTGAATGCAAAATTTTAAAATGAAATGCTAAGCAAGGAGATTACAGCAATATATCACAAGAATCACACACTATGACCAGATGAGATTTATACCAGAAATTCAGGGCTAGTTCAATATTAGGAAAACTATCAGCATGATTGACCATAGCCAATACCAAAACAAAAACTAGAAATCATATGATTATCTCAATAGATACAGAAAAAGCTTTTTAACAAAATACAGCACCCATTCCTATTGAAAACATTAGAAAGCATAGGAATAAATGGAGCTTTCCTTAAAATGATACGTAGTGTCCATCTAAACCTATCAGCAAGCATGATCTGTAATGGGGATAAGCTAGAAGCTTTCCCAGTAAGATCAGGGGTGAAGCAAGGATGCCTATGGTCACCATTATTATTCACTATTGTACTAGAAATGTTAGCTATAGAGCAATGAGGAGAAAAAGAAATGGAAGGAATTAGAATAGGCAACAAAGAAACAAAACTATCACTCTTTGCAGATGATATGATGGTATACACTTAGAGAACCCTAGAGAATCCACCACCACAACAAAAAAAGGGTTGAAATAATTAACTTTAGCAAAGCTGCAGGATATAAAATAAACCCACACAAATTACCAGCATTTCTCTGTGCTACCAACAAAGTCCAGCAGCAAAAGACAGGAAGATAAATTCCATTTAAAATAACTGTAGACAATATAAAATTCTTGGGAGTCTACCTGCCAAGACAAACCTAGGAAGTATGTGGACATAATTACAAAACACTTTTCACACAGATAAAGTCAGATCTAAACAAATGGAAAAATATCAATTGCTCATGGATAGGCCAAGCCAATAAGATAAAAACAACAACTCTTACCTAAATTAATTTACTTATTCAGTGCCATACCAATCAAACTACCAAAAAATTATTTTATAGAGCTAGAAGAAATAATAACAAAATTCATCTATTAGAACAAAAGGTCAAGAATATCAAGGGAATTAATGAAAAAAGAATGTGAAGGAAGGTGGTCTAGCTGTACCAGATCTCAAATTATGTTATAAAGTAGTAAGTATCAAAACAATCTAGCACTGACTAAGAAATAGAGTGGTAGGTCAGTGGAACAGATGAGGTACACAAGACACAGTAGTAAATGACTTTAGTAATCTTAGATTACTAAGCTTTTGGGACAAGAAGTCACTATTTGACAAAAACCTGTTGGGAAAACTGGAAAACAGTACAGCAAAAACTAGGCATAGCCCAACATCTCACACCATATACCAAGATAAGGTCAATATGGGTATGTGATTTAGACATAAAGGGTGATACCATAAATAAATTATGAAAGTATGAAATAATATACCTGTCAGATCTAAGGAGAAGGGAAGAATTTTGTGACCAAACAAGAGATAGAGAACATTATTAGATGTAAAATGGATAATTTGGGTTATATTAAGTTTTAAAAGTTTTACACAAATAAAGCCAATGCAACCAAGATTAGGAGAAAAGCAGAAAGCTGGGAAATAATCTTTATAGTGGATGTCTCTGATAAAGGCCTCATTTCTCAAATATATATTGAGAACTGTGTCAAATTTATGTGAATACAAGTCATTCCCCAGTTGATAGATGGTCAAAGGATATGAACTTTATCTTCAGACAAAGAAATCAAAGCTATCTATAATAAAATTTTAAAAATGCTCTAAATCACTGTTGATTAGAGAAATGCAAAGTAAAACAGCTCTGAAGTACTATTTCACATCTATCAGATTGGCTAATATGACAGAAAGGGAAAATGATAAATGTCAGAGGGGATGTGGGAAAATTGGGACACTACAGTCATATGAAAAAAATGCTTTAAATCACTATTGATTAGAGAAATGCAAATCAAAACGACTCCGAGATACCACATCACATCTATCAGATTGCCTATCACGACAAAACAGGAAAATGATAACTATTGCAGAAGATATGGGAAAACTGGGACACTAACGTACTGTTGGTGGAGTTGTGAACTGAACTAACCATTCTGGAGAACAATTTGGAACTATGCCCAAACGCCTGTAAAACTGTGCATACCCTTTGACCCAGCAATAGCATTTCTAGGTCTATATCCCAGAGATTTTTTTAAAAAGAAGGGGAGGGGAGGACCTTTTTGTACAAAAATATTTACAGCAGCTCCTTTTGTAGTGGCAAAGAATTAGAAATTGAGGGGATGCCCATCAATTGGGGAATGGCTGAACAAGTTGTGGTATATGAATGTAATGGAATATTATTGTGCTATAAGAAATGATGAACAGGTGGACCTCAGAAAAACCCAGAAGGACTTACATGAACTGATACAGAGTGAAGTGAGCAGAACCAGAACACTGTACACAGTAACAGAAATATTATAGATGATCAACAGTGAATGCCTTAGCTATTCTCAGCAATACAATGGTACAACACAGTTCCAAAGGACTGATGATGAAAAATGCTGTCCACCACCAGAGAAAGAACTGGTGGAGTCTGAATGCAGATCAAAGCATACTTTTTTCACTTTTTTTTTAAATTTTGTTTGTGTCTTCTTTTGCAACATGACTAATATGGAAATATGTTTTGCATGACCGCACATGTATAACCTATCTCTAATTGCTTATCATCTCAAGGAGGAAAGGGCAGCTAGGTGGCACAATTGATAGAGCACCGGCCCTGGAGGCAGGAGGACCTGAGTTCAAATCTGGCCTCAGACACATAACATTTACCAGCTGTGTGACTCTGGGCAAGTCACTCAACCCCAATTGCCTCAAAAAAAAAAAAAAAAACCCAAAACATCTCAGGGAGAGGGGAGGAGGGAGAAAACCTGGAACTCAAAATTTTAAAAAATGAATGTTAAAAATTGTTTTGACATGTAATTGGGAGGAAAAATAAAATATCATCTTAAAAAATAAAGTAGTTCAGAAAGAAAAAAAGTCTTTTCTATTCTGTCCTCATGGTCTCGCCTTGCTTTTAGAATTTAAAATGAAATATCAAGACTGGAAGGAACCTTAGAATGTCAAGGATGGGAAGCCTTTCAAACAGTGACAATGAAGGCCCTGATCTTCTCTAGGTCACCCCCTTCATTCTACAGCTGAGGAGATGGGGGTCAGAGAAGGGACACTGATTTGCACAAGGTGAATTGGTGGAATTCCAATATTCAGCACAGGGAAGGGAAGGGAAAGGAAGGGTAGGAGCATTTATATAACACCTACTGTGTGCCAGGCGCTGAGTTAAATATTATCTCACTTAAGGTATTTGGAGGATGGATGGTCATACTACTTGTATGACCCTGGACAAATCACAGAACATTCCTGGGCCTCAGTTTCCACATGTGTAACATGAAAGGGTTGGACTAGATGGTCTCTGAGCCTTAAAACTCTGTGTATGTGTATATGTGCATTGTGCATTTGTGTGCATGTAAACGCATGCATATATTGCATAATGCATATATGTGGTGCAGTGTACTGGCGATGTATGTGCATACACAGTGTTTGTGTGTACCACGTATGTGTGTGCACATGTATATAGCATTTGTGTGTGTGCATTATTGTGTGATGCATAATGCATTGTGTATATGTGTCATGTATTTTTATCATACATGCATGTGTATACATGAGTAATGCATGTATGTGTGTGCATGCACATGCCGTGTGTGTAAGGTCTCAGCTGCCATATCCCCAAATGCGGCCTTCATGCCCCCCTTGCTCTGTCCCTGGGGGACGCCAACCCTCTGTACAGCTGGGTCTCAGCAGGGACTAGGGATGGGGCAGCCAGCTTACCATTTCCTCTTCCATCTCCTGCTCGCCCTCTCCTGCCCCACGCAGGAACAAGATCTTTTGCTTCTCGGCCATCTCGTAGGTGGGCTGCATCTCGGGGTCGTCCCTCAGGGTATCTAGCTTCTTGTGGAACCAGTCCTGCTGCACGGTCCGGTTCATGGACTCCAAGATGGCCAGGGGGTCTTCGGGCCGCTCATTCAGGATCTTAGTCAGCAAGTTCACCAGGTGCTCGTACCTGCAAGGACAGAGGCTCTGAGAGCAAATGGCGAGGCACCCCCTCCCCACAAAGCAAGCTCAGGGAAGGGAGGCGGGGGCTGTGGTCAGGAGGCAAAGGGACTGTAAGGATTGTGTTGTCTGCTCCTGGGAGGACAAATGAGGCAGAAGGGGGCATTCATCATGGCCCCTCCTGGCTCCCCATGGCCTATGGGATCCAGTCCGGACTCTTTAGCCTGCTACTCAGAACTCCCACAGCCTAGCCTGACGTCTTTCCCCCAAGTCCTTACATGACCCTTCTCTCCCATGAGACCAGCACCCGGGAATCTTAGACTAGTGATGAGAGGCTCATTGTCAGAAAGGATCCCAGAGATCAACTCTGGTCCAACTCTTTTAATTAAGGTCCAGAGGAAGTAAGGGACATGCCCAAGGCCACACAGTGGAAGCAGCAAAGATTCAAACCCAGGCTCTTTGACTCCCGTGTCAGGGCATACTGAGTGGAGCCCTCCCCCACATCTGGATTTGCTTCAGGTCCTGCAGGAAGATAAGAGCAGAACCAAGGCTTGAGCCCAGACCACCTTCATTTAGGGTCTGGGAATCACATGCCCACCTCATGCATCTTGTAAATCTAAAATCAGCTATTACCAATTTTTTCTATGCTAGGCTCTTTCTCACCTTCAAGCCTTTTCCCAGGCCATTCTGGACACCTAGAATTCCTTCCCACACTGTCCTTTCACCTTTACTCCCTCTAGTACATGTTAAGGCCTCACAGCATCTGAGTTTTTTCCCTGTGCATTAGGGCTCAGCTATCCCTTACCTGATCTCTCTAGGAAGGCTTTACCTGCTCAAGAGACAGAGAGAGACAGAGAGACAGAGAGAGAAGAGAGGAGAGAGTGAAAGAGAGAGACAGAGAGAGAAAGAGAGGCACAGAGAGAGAGAGAGAGAGAGAGAGGAGAGGACAAAGAATTAGTTGTGCCTTCCTGACCAAATCCAGGGTTTCCCAGAACAGTGGAAAGAGATGGGCTGAGTCATGGGCCCCAGGTTCTAGGCCTGCCCAATCTCCTCCTGAACTTGCTGTGTGATTTCATTCAAGCCTCTTCTGCCTTCTGGACCTCAGTTTTCCCTCCTGTAAGATGGGTTGATAACAACTCCTCCCTCTTAGGGCCATGGGGAGGACATAAGGGCCTTACAACCCCACGATGTTACAGATGGGGAAACTGAGACCAGGGAAGGGGAGGGGACTTGCACCAGGCCACACAAGTCTCAGCAACCAAGCCAGGATCTTTCGGCTTCACATAAAGTGTTCTTGACACCAAACCGTGACAAATAGGAAGTGTTTTAAAGATCAGACAGAACTGTCCTCACAGGGAAGGGTAGAAAGCTCCACAGGCTGGAAGGCAAGTGCCCTGGCTCACCTGACCAGTTTCTTTCTAATCCATTCCAATCTAAGAAGCATTTATTAAACCCTTTCTGTATACAAGGAATTCTGCCAGATGCTAAGACACAACCAAAAAACCAGTGCCTGTCCTCAGGGAGGAGGCAGGGGGAGGGGATGAGGCATGTGAACAGATCCACAGGAGAATTTGAGGAGGGGGGAGGGTTGGAGGACACCTTGAGGCAGAGCAGAGGGAAGCCTGGGATTCTGAGGGGCAGAGGTGAGCGGGGAGGGGTCGGATAGACCATGCAAAGATTTGGAATGCTTGGGGACTAGCAAGCAGGCTGGTGTGGCAATGTGTCCTTTTGATGTCTGGCCCCTCTGTTGTTGCACTGAATTGAATGTAGAGTGAGCAAAGAGAAATTAGATTATATATGACTGGAAAGCTGGGCAAAAGCCACATCATAAAGGGCTTGAGATGCCAGATGGAGTTAACCCTAGGAGTAAAAGGGAGCCATGGAGATTGCTTGAGCAGGGGAGAGACACAGTCAGGGTTTAGGTGTTTTGAAATCTTCATGGAGCATAGATTGGGGAAGAGATAGGCCAGAAGCTGGGAGTTGTTATGAGTCTAGACAAGAGGTTAAAAAGAGAGCAAACTGCAAGAGTGGCCATGTGAGTAGAGAGAAAAGGATAGATGGGAGAATCATTGAGGGAGGAGGCTCGCTGAGACTTGGTGATTGTCTGGCTCTGGGGAGCAAGGGACAGTGCAGAACCCAGTATGATACCGAGGGCTGGGAACTTTGGTGACTGGGAGGATGATGGTGCCCCCCCCAAATGAGGAAAACGGAAATGAGAGCTGAGGAGGGGACCACATGTTGGAAGTCTTTGTGTAGGAGATGCCTAGTAGATATCCAGTTTGAGATGTCCAAGAGGCAGTCAGTGATAGGCTAGCTCAGTAGAGAGGTCAGGGCAGGCTAGATCCACCTGGAGGTCAGCTGGATAGAGATGATAACTGAGCCCCAAAGGATGTCCAACAAAGGTGCAGGACAGATCCTTCAAGGCACCCCCACAATTGGGACAGGAAGATGGACTAGGGAGGAGAAGACCCAGGAGACAGCAGTTATAAAGACCCAGGGATCGGAGAGGGTGATCAATATTCATTCAAAGGAGCAATTAAGAGATCTGGTAACTTCAGAGAGAGAAGGCCCATTGAAGTGGTGAAATTGGAAGCCAGATTGCAACGGAATGACGAAGGAAACGGGAAGAGAAAATGGAGACAGGTTTTTTCAGGGAATTCATCTATATAGATTCTACCTTGGGAAAAGGTTTTGTTTTTGTTTGTTAAACGTGGCTGTGTTTGTAGGCAGCAGGGAAGGAACCAGTAAATAGGGACAAATTGAAGCTTTCGGGGAGACGGATTTGAGGAGGTGGGCTGCTGGGGCATATAGGAGAGAATAGAATCAAGTATGAAGGTAGTCCTTAGCAACAAAGATCACCTCTTCATCAGAAGTGGGCAAAGGAGGGAAGGATGAGCAGGGAGAATGATGTCAAGGAAGTTTAAAGTGCAGAAATAGGGGAGAAAAGGGAGTTCCTCACGGACAGCCTGTTTTCTCACTTAGGTCTTCTGCTCATCGAGAAGGGAGAGGATGGATGGTGGGGGACACTTGTGGGAAGGGGCTATGAGACAGCCAGGGTGGGGAGTGGGATGGAAAGCTAATTAGGAGAGAACAAAAGGATTGCTTGGCACCTGTGAAGGCCTGATTGAGGTTGGGTGGCATCCACTGATGGTGGACCCAGCTGGCTTGGAGCACCTTTCTACAGCAGGAGAACAGGCGTGGGAAAGGTGGATGGGGAGGGGGACCCAGGGTCAGTGTGGCCACAGACAAGGCAAATGGTTCACAGGGAGAGGACAGACAGAGGAACAATATTGGGAGGGCAGAAAAGGGAAACCAGAGTTGGTGTGGTGGCTTGAGGGCAGAGGGAGAGACAGGGTCACAGGTGGTGATGGGAGGAGGAGGTTCATGACAGGTGAAGAACAAGGTGCCAAGGGGCAGCTAGGTGGTGCAGTGGATAGAGCACCAGCCCTGAAGTCACGAGGGCCCGAGTTCAAATTCGGCCTCAGACCAAACACTTGACACTTACTAGCTGGGTGACCCTGGGCAAGTCACTTAACCCCAATTGCCTAAAAAAACCCCCCAAAAAACAAGGTGCCGAGTAGTGACAGAAGCTGACTTATGGTCAGAAAGGGGAATTTCAGAGTTATGTACTCTGGACACTTATGGGTGATGATAAAGAGATCAGGGCCTGAGCTTGCTGTGGGTGGAGTAAAGGGGCAGGTCAGGGGCCTCAGTTTCTGTCTCTGCAAAATAAGAGGGGCTTGTATTCTAACAAAATGATTTCTAAGAACCATTTTGGCCTCAAGTCTTGACCATGGCAATCATGTCCTCCTGTGTCTAAAGCTTTCAGGACAACAGTTCCTAACAATAATCCTTTCACAGATGCAGAAACTATGGCTTGTGAAAGAGGGCGCTTTCCCACGGTGTGAGAGGGGGTCCTTTGACCCCAGGACCAGCTCCTCTCATACACCCACTGCCCCTAAGGTTCTCCAAGCCTGAGTCCTGACCGATAGACCCATAGGTTGTGTGACCTTGGACAAACCCCACCCCTTCCTTGGGTCTGCTCCCGATTTTGTCCAATGGGAAGGGGAAGGTGGTGGTTTAAGTCTCCACAGGCCTTCCCTGCACAGGCCTGGGGCTGCCCACATCTCACAGGCTGAGGTCACACTTGACGCTGGTCTTCAGCAGGTAGGCTTTGGCGTTCTGTATCATCAACTCCCGGGGCTCAGGCTCGGGCAGCTCGTAGTCCAAGGGCCCGAAGCTGGGCTCCATATAAGAGCCTCTGAATAGCGGGTCGTCTATAGTGTAGGGGCCGTGGGACCCCTCGTCCTCCTCCAGGTAGCTGCTGCTAGACAACAGCGGTTCAGGCTGAAACGTGTCGCTGCTCATGTCCATTGGCTGATAGGGCCCAAACTGAGAACCACCCATGGGGGCATAGGTCTCAGGCATGCTGACGTCGCTTGGAACAAAACCCACCAGATGATGCAGGCTCTGGGACCCCATTTGGGGGACGCTTTCCATTGGCTTGCCCTCTGTGGCTTCTTCACCTGGCGCCCCTAGGCTGCCTTGGGACCCTGGCGCCCCCGAGCTCTTTTGGGACAATGGCAGTCCCGGGCTGCCTCGGGACGGTGGCGCCCCCAGGCTGCCTCGGGACCCGCGGGCTGAAACATCAGTTGGCCCGGTCACCGATGGGGTCTGGGACAGAGTACGCCGCCTGTCCTGCGCCTCCCGCGTCTCCAGGCTCTGCCTGCGGGACTGGCTCTTTTTCTCATCCTGCGGCTGTTCTTCCATGGTGAGCCCTGGTCAACTCTTCCCAAAGGCGGCGAAAGAACGGATGCCCGGAGCTGAGAGCGTCCTGTCTCCAAGGGCAACCGTTACCAAGCCGGTGCGCACAGGACTTGGCGTATGGCAGTCTGGCGACGCTGGGGCCACGCGGGCTCACGGACCCCTGCCCACACCGGAGCGGGAGCTCGGGCTCTGAGACGCAGGGCTACGGAGCGGGGCATCCTCCGCGGCAGCCCGGGCAAGCCCGCCATCGTTCAAAAGCCCCGAATGGCCCAAGGGCATGAACTGCCCGACTGATGAGGGGAGCCCCAATCTGCATAGGCTCGCCCAGCAGCCCGGCGCCTCCTAACCGCCCCACCCCCGCAGCCAAGCCAGTCCTACAGGTATTCATTAAGGCGAACGCCGGGATTGGGCGAACCTGCCTTCCAGAAGCCTACATTCCATCGCGGCACGGACGTCTACGGTATCGGGGAGGGCAGTCTACTGGACAGCTCGGCCCAACGCTGGGCAGCCCCCTCCCGAAGAACCCTAAAGGCGGCGGTGGCGGCCCCCAGCGCTTCGGAAAGCAACCCACAACCACAGCTGGACCAGACAGGCCTCTTTATTGCAAACGAATGGACCCTATTCCCCCCCCCCCCCCGGCGTCCCGCCCCCTCCCCCACGGTCTGTCAGCTGTCCATCTTGGTCTCCGAAGCCGCCTCCCCCCCCTCCTCCTCCCGCGCAGGGCCTGGAGGCTGCGGGCTCCGGTCCTCTTTGGAAGGGACCCCTGCTGGCTCCTCCTGATGGGGGAGGGGGACAAGTTAGAGGAAAGGCGGGGGGGAGGGAAGGCCTGCCGGTGCTGCCGCCACCCCCCCCCTCCCCCGCTGACCCAGGCGGTCTGGGGCTCCTTGCTCCTGCCTCCCCCAAGCCCCGCAGGCCCACCTCCACCAGGACGCCCCGGGCCCCCCTCAGAGCCTCTCCTCTGAGCTTCTTCCTCCTCCATCCTTCAGGGCTCCCACACCTCCTTCCCCGAAAGCTTCCTGAGCTCGTCAGTGGTCCCCAGGAATGGGCTGTGGAGGAGTTACTGACTTGCCTTCTGCTTGGGCTGTGGAGGGGAAGAGGAAGGGGAACGCCCTACCTTCTCAGGCAGGGGCCCCTCCTGGCTCGAGTCCAGCAGGGTGGCCTCTGTCAGCCCCCCATCCTCCTCCATACTGATGAAGATGTTGGGGGCCTCGCCCTCCGTCCCCTCCTCCCGAAAATCCATGGCCTCCTCTGAGGGTGGGGGACCTGCGCGGGCCGAGGGGGCCGAGGGCAGCAAGGGCTTCATCTTCTGCTCCTCCTCCAGCTGCCGCTTCAGGGCTTTCTCCTGGGCGAGGCGCAGGGCGATGAGGTCCTGGGCTGGGCGCGGGGCCTGGGCCAGGGCATCGAGGTCCTCCTGGGGAAGGGGCGACAGCTGAAGGCCCCCTGCCCCGATGGCGCTGGCTCCACCCCACCCCCATGCTCCCACAGCCCCATGGCCCTGGCGGCAAAGCCCCTTCCCTCCTCAGGGCCTCAGTCTCCTTGTATGTTGAGCACCCAGGAAAGGGGCTCTGGGGGGGGCCGGGAGCAGCAGGGGGACTGAGAGCTTTGTAAAGGCTCAGGGAATGCTGGGCCTCTGAGGCCCAGGAAGGTGGGGGTGGGACAGGCCTCCCACACCCCACCATCCCCAAGGGACCCCCCTCCCCGCTGCCCCACGTCCGGGGCTAAGCTCTCACCTCCTCCAGGGACGCTGGCACCGGCTCCTTGACTTCCACATCTTGCTTGCTGCTGGCTTCCAGGATGGCCATGATGGAGTTAGGGATGTGGGCTTGCTGCGGGGTAGGAGTGTGAGAAAGCAGAGACACATCAGGTCTTTTCACAGAATTTCAGGGGGCGGAGGAGGGCCCACGGTACCCTGGGAGTCGGTTCCCGGGGCTAAGGCTGCCTGGCTGGGCACGGGAAGCCCTCCCTCGTCACCCCATCCCACAGGCCTTCCTGGCAATGGCTGCGGCCACATCTTCTGGGATGCCATTGACCACCCCTCTGGGGAGGGCAGGGGAGGGAGGACATCCTTGGATACCTGGTGCGGGGTGAAAGAGCGCACATGTGCCAGGAGGGGCTCTCGGAGCTCCGGGCACTTGTCAAAGACCGCACTCAGCTGTTGGGGGGGCAGCTGCAGGATCACCTGGAAACTCTGGGGCTTGGTCCGCTGGCAGCACTTGATGAAGCCTTCCCACACCTTGGGGTACTTCCACACCTGACGAGAGTCAGAGAATATCAGAGCTCTGCCCCCCCCAATTTTAGAAATTAGTAAACCAGCACCCAGACAGGGAGAAGGGACCTGCCTAAGGGAAAACCCAAGTGGAAAATGGCCGAGCCAATTACCCTGGAGCCCTTGGACTCCACAGCCCACAGGCCAGGGCCCTTCAGAGCCAGCACACTGGAAGGAGGCCCAACAAACCACCGCTAATCCCCATGCCCTCTCTGGGCCCGTCTCCACCTCCGCACAATGGGGGTGCTAGGCCCCTCCAGCCCTACCCGGAGCCACAGGCTTCTTCCCACAGCTGTGGGCTCTTAGCCCCTGAGGTAGGCCTGGCCCTGTCACCTGCTTCATGATGAGCCGGGACAGGATGTTCATGACAAAGCCACCAAGCCTAGGATACATGGTGAGGGACTGGATGACAGTGCGCATGAGCAGCATGGGGAGGGGGCTCTGCTCCATCAGCTGCTGCATGACCACGGCCAGCACCTCCGACGTGTAGACATTGCGCTCAGCGAAGCACAGGTTAGTAGCTGCAGGGTGGGAAAGGTCGTCACCCCAAGGCCTGCCTGCCTCAGGAGCCCTGGGCTGACAAGTTGACCCAGGGGTGAGGGGAGGGAGGCAGGACTCCAGCCCCCCTCCCAGGCCTTCCCCTGCCCCTCCCCAGGGCTCTGCCCACCAAGGCCTTCTCCTGCCCCCTCCCCAAGGCTCTCCTATCCCCCCCAGGCCTTCCCCCTGCTGCCTCCCCCCTCCCCAAAGCCAGGCTGGAGGAAGGGAGGAGGAGGAGGGGGTGGGAGAGATTCCTAACCCTTAATGATGGACTTCATGTCACACTTCACAGAATCGATGTTGTGGAGGGCAATGAGCAGCTCCCCTGGATTCAGGGGTGACACTGCTGAGTTCCCTTCACCTAGAAGAAGGAAGGAGGGAAGGTGAGGGCCCCATAACGACAGAGAACCCTGCCTGATGGGCCAGGCCTTCATCTCCTCCATGTCTGGGGGCACAGCAAGGCCCTCCCAGCTTTTAAGTTAATTCAGTGATGACAAGAGCAGATTTCCCTTAAGGCTTACAGAGCCCTGCTGTCCCCCAGTGCTGGAGGGGGGCTGCACAAATATTACTGGCCCCATTTCACAGAGAAGGACACTGAAGCTTGGAGAGAGGAAGGGATTTCAGCTCCTAGGATGCTGGGAGACCAGATAAAGGATGGAGGATCCCAGAAGAGAAAAGGACAATTCTGATCATATAAAATTTACTAAGTTTCGCACAAACAAATTGAATGCAACTAAGATTAGAAAGAAAATAGTCAACCAGGGAAAAAACTCTTTGCATAAAGTTTCTGCTAAAGTTCTCATTTCCAAAATATGGAAGGAACTCATTCCAACTGACAACAAAAAGAACCATTCTTTACCTGAAAAATGGTCAAAGGATATGAACACACAGTTTGCAAGGAAAAGAAATTTCTGGTGGAGAAGCAAATGGGTCCAGCCGTTTTGGAAGCAATCTGGAACTAACGAGGTCCCCAAGTAAGGACTTATTTGGTGAAAATGTGGATTTTAAAAATACTGTCCAAAGCATATATTTCCATGCTCTCCATCTATGGCCTACATAGTCACAGCAGCTCTTTCTCTGGTGGCAAAGAAAAGCACACTAAATGGGTTGCCCATCCCCTGGGGAATGGCCGCACATGGGACGGTACCAGGATGTGCTGGAAGAAACCCTGAAGGGGGAGCTTTCAGAGAAACCTGGAAGACTGTAGGAACTGCTACAGAATGGAGGAAGCAGAACCAGGAAGGGACTTTATAGAACAAAACCACTGCAAAACAATTTGGAAACGCTTAGGAGTTCTGATCCACACCATCACCACCCGTGACTCCAGAAGACTGCTGACAAATGCCAGGGAGAGGACGGTCCAAACGTGCCGAATGAGATGCTGGCTTCTGGGTGTGGCCAACGTGGGGATTTGGTTTGTGAACCACACATGTTTGTCACCAGGGCTCCCCCTACCCTCACACCCCACTCTGGGGTAGGGAAGGGAAGAAAAAAGTCATTAACTTGACAAAGCTGCTAGGACTCAGAACAGGAAGAACCCTTCAGAGAAGGTCCTGGCCAATTCCCTCATGCACAGCAAGGAGGGGCCGAGGCCAGGCACGCAGGTGGTCGGCTCTTTCCACTACACTAGGCTGCCTCACTACCCTGGATTCACACACTCCACCAATCTGACCCTTATCACAGCCCTGGGATGCCAGCAGAAATTTTCCTTTTCATTTCACAGGCTTTGAGAGAAGTGAGGCCCTGTCCTGAGATCAAAGGTGCCCTCGCTGGACCTGGCTTTGGGTTCTTGCCACACTCAGGTCCTTGGGTAAGGGATTTCAGCCACTTCCTCACGTATAAGCTGAGAGGGTCTAAGTGAACCATCTCCTAGGTCCCTTTGCGCTCTACCTCAGGCTCTGTGCAGCCAAGGTCGCGAGGCTCGGCCCACGACACGGCCCTCTTGGGGCAGTAAGTGCAGGCTTTGGAAGGCGCCCCACTGCTGTGTCCTGCCCCAGCCTGGCAGGGCTCTTACCGTGCTGCGTGCCCAGCAGGCGGTTGAACACCTCCTTCACCACGATGGGGTTCAGTTTGATGAGTTTGGGTAAGGCCTGAATCACTTCCTTCTGCAGAGAGGAAGGGGTAGGGGGTCAGCAAACAGCAGCTCCTTCCCCCTCACAGACAGGGGAGAGAACACCTTCCCCACAACGCAGAGCATCTGGGTGAGGCAGCGCGGGGCACAGGGAGGAGTCGCCTCTCTTCCTCATCTACGTGACGGGCAGCCCCGTTCCAGTTCTG